CCCCAAAACCCCAAAACCCCAAAACCCCAAAACCCCAAAACCCCTTTATAGTTCAAAAATATTGATCATCATTTTTACTGAATTATCTTATTTCTTATTTCTTCTAACTTTTTGTGAACTTCAAGAGGGTGTTTGTCTAGTTCTTCTGCAAGAGACTTTTGCTTAGCGAATCCAAGGATAGCAAATTGCTCGCATAAGTCTCCATCAACTACATTCTTTACTGGAGCATTAAGAGATCTGAACGAGACATGCTCTCTCCCGCTTAATGGTAATGCTTCTTGTCTTAAATACATTTCAAGATGAAGGAAAGTATCTACATCATCCTTTAGTTCGAAAGGAATTAAGGCACAGATTGAACCCATCGATGTACCAAAAAGGATTATTTCAGATCCAATAGAGGATAATCTACATTTTTTGATAGAAGTGATTAGCTGTCCTGTATGATATTGAGCAATCTGTTCAAATTTGAAAGCAGCTCCTGAAAGGTATCCAGACTCCCATTTAAATTTAGTCGAAGTTGGGTCATCTTCTGCGTCTTCTTCACAACCAGGTGGAAGTCTTAGCACAAAAAGATTTTCAAATTTATCAGACCCAATCACTGTATCATAATCCAGCATTGTAAAGTCTGTAATCCATCTTGGGATTACATCATCTGCAAAGATGTAGAGTTGACAATCTTCTGGTTTATATTTAAGCACATGAACTGAATCAGCTTGATCAGATGCAAAAATCCTGCTTCCATCAGTTTTTATTCTATTAATTGAAGAATGGAAGTTTCTATTCTCACATTTTCTGAGCAATTTAGTTCTTCCAAGATCGTATACTCTGAGAATGTTCCCAATTCCTGCTATAAGTCTGTTTCCTATTATTTCAAATCACATTGGCAAATCTTCTGTCTGAGTTTTATGCATCAGTCTGAGGTCACCATCTTGAGTGAAGTAGTAAACTGATATGAATCCCAAGTCACAACTTTTGGGTTTGATCTTCATATTTTTGGCAGACCCAAGAATGAGATATGTTGTGTCTCCAGCTCCAAGACGATCAGTGATGAACATTGAAAATGCTGCTTCGTTTGCACCTAATTCCATTAAATGCACAGTTGTAAGATCGATTGGGTTAATAACTCGAATACAAGATGCCCATTGACCATTTGGGGCTTTTGGATATCCAATCTGGTTTTCTGGTACGTTTTTGTATTCTTCATCACCGGTATGCTCATAAATTTGATTTTTAATAATTTCTCTTGTACTTGAGTCATAAGTTAAATGATCTGTTTCTAGAGTGAAAATCTTTTTCATTTCCAGGTCATATTTCATATCTCTGACAGTGTACATGAGAGGCATTGTAATCTGGTTAAACATCTCTCCTAACTTATCAACAGCGAATATTTTTAGAGAGGATCCGAAGATGCCAATCATTCCTTCTCTGCATTGCTCAGAACTGAAAGAAGCAACTGAGGTTAAGCCCTCAATACTCATAGGAGACATTTGGTACTTTGACATGAAATTATAGCAAAGCCAAGATCTTGATGAAATAGCTATCATAGCTGGCTCTCCTTGAACTATCACTTTTCTAAGTTTAATGGGTTGGGTTCCCAAATATCTCGCTCTTGAGTCACTAATAGGATCGACCTGAGCTCTAAGAAGCACTCCATTTGATAATCCAATGTGTAAAAAGAGTTGACTTTGATCCATGTCAAGACCTCCAGTGTTGTTCTTCATCTCAATCAAGCATACTTCGGAAGGAGGTGCTGGAAGAGCTTGCACTGAAATTCTTGAGAGACAACTTTCCGGATCAAGAGATAGAATTTTTACATCTTCTCATCCAACTGCTAGAAACTTTGATCTTTGTCTTCCTTCTTGAATAGGTCCAACATCAAGGCAAGTAATTTCGGTGTCAAATATTTTAGATCCTACTTCTTGGAGTGTTCCCACAGAATCTAGCTCAAAGTATCTAATCTCACCTCCCTCAAGTGCAATTACAACTTGTCTTTCATTTGCACAGGCTCAAGTGACAACTCCTGAAGAAGCTGACCATTGGTTTCTCCCTCCATCAGGTTTCACATGAATGATTCCTTTAGGATAAACCTGAATGATTGAATCATCAATCAAGAGATGAGCAATAATAGTCTTAGTTTCTTTTTCAATTCCTGTTTCATTAAGCTCTTTGATGGTACTTCCTATTTCAAGGACTATTGTAGAAGTCTCAAAAGAGACAACCATCATTTTATCAACGTCATCTCCAAATTTTTCTTTCAGGGTCCAAATGCCGGTTGGAGGAAGTGGCATCTCAGAATCCCCGATCTGTTGGATTTGAATTCCATGTCTAACTACTCTAAGATTAGAGAGACTACCTCTTCCACATGTGATGTAGATTTGAGGGTTTCCTTCGTCAACCAAATCTACTCATTCCATATTTGTGATGCTTCCAAGACTCTTAATCTGGTCTACTGGAGTGATATTTTTGAGCCCTCTCGCGTTAAAGGAGACTAATGCATCTTTTTCCATGGAAGAGTCAGTGATTATAGGATTTTCTTCATTATCTCCAAGATTTGTGATTTGATACATGAAATGGTCCCCAAATTCAACAGCTGCAAAAATGAATCCACTTTTTAGCAAGCATATTGAATTACAAGGACTTATTGTATCGAAGTATTGGCATTGGATGCTATGTACTTGATCATCCGAGAAATTTAAGGAGATTCTGTACAAATCGCCGTGATCACTTTGAACAATGAAGAAGAACATTTTCTTCTGCTTATGCAATGTATAATTTATCATGAAAAGTTTTCTGTCTTGTGCCATTTCATTTCTTCTAGCAAAAGGGCATTCTCTATCTTCATGATCTACTTTCTTGTAGACCATGAAATTTTCGCATACAACAATGACTCCTCCTGGACCATCTGGTTCAGCTGGAATTGGAAGAAGCATATGAGCTGAAATATCCACTTCTTCTCAATAATTTCTAATTACATGATTCAAACCAAGATCTAGTTCATAGAGAACAAGATTTTTCTGCGGTTTTCCTGTATTAACTGCTGAGAAAGGAGAATCAGTCTCTCCATAATCAATTTCAAGTCAAGCAAATACTGGGTTTGAATAACCTACATCAAGCCCGCACATATCAAAAACTATGGTTCTGGGCTTATGTGCCTCAAGAGGACTGGAGATTGTTGCTTCATCATTTTCTCTGTTTAGAACATATACAAACTTCTGCTTTTCGACGGCTCCTACCATAACAGCTCTACCTTTTGGGTCTCCTGCAAGGTATTCTCCAGGAACAATTCTTCTAACTCCTGTTTTACCAAAGATTTCTTGATGGACCACTTCAAATCTTTCTTTTTCCTCTTTGTATTCTAAGATAGTTAGCTTTCCAGAGTCTGTTCCTAAAACAGCATAATCAATATTGAGTCCGGTAAGTCTGAATGCAATCACTTTACGAATATGGGTGAACATATCCTGCCTATAGACCGTATGTAATTTTCCATTTTCTTCTTCTGGTCTTAATAATTCAAGCATGGTTCCTATAAAAAATAAAAACGAAGAAATCTTACCCTTGGCAACGAGTATTTCATGTTTTCTGGGGCCAGAGAAGTTTCCATAAACCGCGTGGTTGATCATGGTACTCTCCTGAAGAGTTAAGGAATACAAATTCATTTTCCTCTTAATTCTAATAATTGGAAAATCAATAAATTTATAATGTTCAGGGGTTTTGGGGTTTTGGGGTTTTGGGGTTTTGGGG